TATATATATAAAAGAAGAGAAAGCAACGATAAAGTTCTATACAAGATAAAAGATAAATTTTAGAAGTAGTTATTTGTAAATAAATGACCACTATGTCTATTCGCCGCAACCCTAATGCAGTTACATTATTATATTATATTTTTATTATATTTGTTCATATGAAAGTATGGCCTACCTTATAAATTTGACCATTAGATATTGGAATATTTACATTCTTACCACTCAATTTATATGCATTTACATTTACATGTATAATACTAAACTATAATTCGCACATATATGCCACTTTTTTTATATATGGAGAAGATGCATTTTATCTATTTTTAAAATTAAATAGTTATTTATACATATAAAGTTTAGATATTAGATATGTAAATGAATAGAAAATGGATGGTAAATATGTAAATGCCTGAAGAAAAAAAATTAGAAAAGTCAACTTTTATAAATACTTAGGGTAGCTTATTGAATAATTTGTTGATAAGCTGATTAAAAATAATGTGATGATAAGTTAGGTGCGGTGGTTTTTACAATTTTTTATTTTTTTTGGAAAAGTCAGACCGCGGTCATAAAACTTCCACCGCACCTAGATTGGTGCGGCATGAAAAGTGAAAACGTTATTTTCAGTATTTTGAAGACGCATAAGCTATCAAAATGCAGTTTACCCAAACAAGTCATGTGCATTTTCTCAAATGGGTATGAGTTACAAAAATACCATTCACTTCAAATATATTTACATATCCAACACTCAAAACTTTAATTTTCACACATATCACCTTATCATGCATGAAAAAATAGTGTATTTCACCTTTTCTAAATTTATTAATGTGATATAAAGTAATTGGATGGTATAAATGTAAAAAGATATGCTTATAGGTGTTAGAAATGTAAATTCATAAGATTGGAGTGGTAAATATGTAAAATGACACATAAAAAAAGGCCAAAAAAGGTTACGGTCCACTTTGCTATGTCGATTTGCCGCAAGCAGCTCCTAACAAGACAAACAGAGGATCAAAGAAATTACAAATGAAAATTAAATATATTTAAACCTAATAAATTATTATATTATATTTTTTTTATTAGGTATAACCTTATCACCCATTAAAAGGGGAAGATTTACATCCATACCACAACTTCTATGTACCCCACCTTATTTAAATATGGAAAAGACTCCTTAAAAATTATAATATTGATATTCTTATATGATATAAAAAAATTGTGCGATAGAAATATATAAGAGTTGGGTGATGTGTGTAAATAGAAAAATTAAACTATATGCATAGATGTATGTGGTGTCTGATCTACACCGTCGATTACCGATCTCTACCGTCTGATCATTTTTTTTTTAAACAAAAGTGAGCCCACCGAAATACATCTTTACGGTGATCTACGGTGTAGATCAAACACCGTATGCATCTCTACATGTGGTGTTCGTATGGAATAATTTTTCGTGTACATGACCCTGTAATTCATATTTCAATTTAAATTTTAAAACTGAATTCCGATAATTATACTCACCGCTCAATTCCCATGTATTTACATATTTGACATCTAAGTTTTAATTGTACGTATATGTCGTCTTACATGTGCATAAAAACGTGTATTTTATTTTTTAATAGCTAAAAATGTTGGATCTCGGAACATTGCTCAAGAGTTGGAGTCGAGTGAAGAAAAGAATAAAGTGATTCAAGAGTTACTGTGGAGAGAACCGGAAGAGAGTCATCTTATTCATATTTTTGTCTCCTATTTATAAGAGCTTATTTTGTAAAATTACATAAAGACGAAATAGTAATAGAAACTACACAGAAATGAGGGAATAGTTGGAGAAACCGTTCTTAATATGATTAATGCTCTAATAAATTGTATGTATTTCATTTCATATTTATATTACAATTTGAATTTTGATATGACGGTAATTCGTCGATTGATTCGCTAGAATGCAACCAACTGAGGTGATCGACTGGGTTGCGACCATACCTTGTGTTGACCTAGGTGTTCGGTCGAATGACAATCTCGTTCGTTGCGTCAAAAAGCTGATCGGTCGTTCAATCGTGATCAGGGCTTTTTGTCTACGCTTCAGTAGGTCGGTTGGTCGACTGATGAGTCGATTTGTTTTATCGGGTGAACTGTGAATCACTTGTCACTTTGGCTCAAGTTTTACAATGCCTACGGCTTATTTACCTGGTATGCTCATTGCCCCAGCTGGATACCTCTATTTGTAAGGTCTTAGTTGAAGCTTTTTGCTGACTGTGTGAGGCATCCATTGAGGCTTGATGCTATGATGAATTACGCCTAGCTCTTAGCAGATTTTGTCGCTATTAGGCGATGGACAATCTCTAGAGCTTTGACTTGTCTCGGGTTTAGAGACATAATTTCACTTGTTTGGTGGTGACTTGTCGGTCAACTGTACACTCCTGGGAAACTTTTTTATATTCAGTCTTTCATTCTCTTTGATATTCATGTCAATAGCTCTAGTGTATACACATAAAATTTTTTGGTGATATGCCCCTTAACTATGTAGGTAAATGGATGGTATGTAGATAAATAATATCATTATCAATTGCTCCTTAACTATCAATTGCTCAAAATAATTAACGGAGAAATTACGAAGTCCGTGTCCGTATGTCCGAACACCGGCGACGATCCGACTACACGAAATACACGGCAAAGAGACTAGCTTGTAGACTCTTTGAACCTGATTTAGTTCTGCTGATTTGTATTTGATTTGTTTATATTAATTTAAAAACTAAAACTCAAATGAATAATTAATTTTTTTTATATAAAATTAAACATTTGATTTGTCCATGATTTTTCTTATAAAATTAATAAATAATTTAAAATTTTAAATAAATATTTGACTTTTAATATTCATTTAAGCTTCGAGATTTTTAAAAAATTATTCAATTTTTAAACGAATATGATCAAGCATTAATCGAGCAAATTCGAGTTGTTGAACAAGTGCAACTCACCTTTAAATATTGATGACAGCCTAAGACAATAGGAGATATTAACAAAGGCAATCTTTAATTAAATTTGGCTTTACTTTAAATTAATTAATAATTAAATTAATTAATTTGGCTTACTTTAAATAATCTCTCTGGTTATCGAACCACCTCAGCTCTTTAAGATAAACTCATTTTTTATAAATTATATTATCAATCCTGCTTCTTATAAAATATTTTTCTTTAATTTTCAGAGAAAAAAAAAACATATTTATTTATTCAAATACAAATTTTCAAAATGTTCATGTTCCTCCAAGATATTATTTTCCTTAAGAACTAGGGGTGTAAACGAGCCGAAGACGAGCGAGCCCACGCACAGCTCGTGTTTGGCTCGTTTATATTTCGAGCTCAAAAAGCGTGTTCGTGTTCGACTCGTTTGCTTAGCGAGGCGAGCACGAGCCGTTCACGAACAAAGAGTCATTTCGACAACCCTAATCACGTAGCAATAAAAATGTTAAGGATTGGGTCAAGATTTAAAACATCATTTGAATCTATTTTACTAATTTTTATTCTATTTTCATCTTTAGTACTTTTAATTGCTTATAAATCTTTGTAGTCGTGTAGCCAATTAAATTTTTAAAAAATACTACTCATCAAAGATATATATATATATAATTGATTAGTAGTATTTCAAGCCAAAACGAGTCGAACACGAACGAACAAATATTTATTCGTGTTTTTCATGCTCGACTCGTTAACTTAGCGAACGAGCCGAACAAGAGTTGTTCGCAAGCCGTTTTGAAAGCCCTATTAAGAACTTGTCTATTTCCTGTAATTCTTTTTAATTTATATAACTGACCCCCTAAAGTTTCATATTTACATGCATAACAGTAGACTATTTTTTGTATAGATTTATAACTCCAGAAAGTTATAAATATGAATATAGGGGATTAAGTGTGCTTGATATGTAAATACATAAGAATTGTGTGGTATGTCTGTAAATTTTCATGAGAGAATTAAGGGGCATTTACATACATGCCACAAATTTTCTCTATTTATATATATATCTAACAATTAAACTTTAATATTTACATACATGATGCTCGAATCCTTGTGTTGAGAAATTAGGGCGAAGAAAAACAAGAATCGACACAAATCCAGAAGAACAAACAGAGATTTACGAGGTTCGGCAAAGATGCCTAGGTCCTCGGGAGCAGAGCAGCGACTC